GAGTCATATAACGTACATTGCTGCCATGCAGTCTTGGTACGTTGCTGCAATGCACTCTTGGAAGGAGCTAAAAACTCTGATCAGAAAAAGCATAAAGAGGGTGTTGGGCATCCCCGTGCGAGCAAACGCTGAATGACTTATGCAGCGAGGGGTTTATAACACTCTAGAGGAGATCACTGAAGCCCAAGAGACTGCACAGATAGTGCACCTGTCGTCTACGCCGGCTGGTAGGAAGACTCTTCCCGTCCTAGGTCTCAGCCCTGTGCTCGCGGAGGATTGCCGTCTTCAACTGCCGGATGAACAGCGTACTGCCATCCAGACATCTTCCTTTCCGCGAGATGTCCATCCTCAGCACAACGTAGGCAGGCGCCGGGCTAGGGCCATCACACTTCTGAAGAGCATCAGGAACGATCCTCTATCAGTGTGTTTTGTCGACGCCGCTCAGTATGATCGCTCAGCTAGGCTTTCAGTTATTTCCGTCAATCACGTGGGTTCTATTATCAATGATGCGTCAGTTAGGAACTCTACTGCTCCAAGAGTCGAACATTTGGCTGTAGATCTTGCCCTTTTGGATGACAGTAGATAACAAATCTTCACCGACTCAAGGTCAGCGGTCAGGGCTTTCACCTCTGGTTCCGTCTGTGCTGAAATATTTAAACTACTTGAAGATAGGACACTTTCTCCACATACCATTACCTGGTTTTCTGCACATCTCGAACCTCTACTGGACTGTCAAGTAAACCTGAATGACACTGCTCACTCCCGGGCGCGCGCACTCACCATCCGCGCCGGGGAGGACGTAGGTCCGCAGGTTCGCAGTGAGTTATCCAGGGACGCTTTACTTACATTCAGTGAAGTGGCTAAACACTACCGGTTGAATAAGCGGTCATTTGCTCCTCCGCACAACAAGTTGTCTAGACCTCAGGCCATCACGTTTAGAATGCTTCAGACAAGGTACTATCTAACTCTATTTTTCCTCAGCATGGTCTCCTCAGAGGCTTTCGACTTTACTTGGCCTAATTGTGGTGAGGTTAGTGACTTAGCACATATGCTGTGGTTGTGCTTCTCGTTACGGGACCCAAGTCGGCTTACAAAAGAGGATTGGGACTCTGCCTTACGAAGTTCAGAAATACTACAACAACTATGGGCTGTCAAGAGAGCCCACGATGCGGCGGTGAGGCCTAGCCTCACCATTCCTACGTGGGAGCGGCCCGCGACGTTGCTCTAAAAGAGTAGCGTTTCTCAGGACCCAATAAAGTTCTCTGCCTGCCTGCCTGCGTGCCTGCCTGCCTGCCCGCCCGTCTGCCTGCCCGCCCGTCTGCCTGCCTGTGTACCTATATTGAAGAGAAATAAATAAAAGAAAGAGACAGGAAGGTGAACCTAGAAGAACTAGCTTGCTACCCTGTACAGGGGTGGGGAAATAAGAGCCGGTACGAGGATGGAGATAGAGAGATATAAAATAAATTAGGAAAAAATACACATGCACACACATGCAAGGCGTTCTGATCACAGTCGTTTGAAGAGGCCGGTTGAGCGCAAAAAGAGCAGGAGCGCCTTGACAGCCTTTTTCTGCGACATAAAGACCTGTCGGTAGCGCAGGATTCTTTTTTCCAAAAGAGTCTGGTTGTCCAGTTCGTGTAGTGCATTGCAGAGTGAGTGTCTCTGCGAGCAGTATTGTGGGAATTCCACAGAATATGCCAAGTTGTTTCGTCGAACAAAATACTGATAGAGCAAATGAAGCAATAACATAGCGAGAATATTGTGACCAAGTTGGAAAAAATAGCATTTTCACTCGTATTTTGGCTCAATTTTCGCGATGTAGTGACCTCAAAAAATATTAATTGCACATTGTTGCATAGAATTGTTTGTCAGTAAGACGTGACGAAAGTTTCAAAGAAGTAGTTTTTGTTTCAAGGGAGAAAAATGTTTTCAATTAAACAACCACAAGGTAGGACGAAACATGCCTTTGCCTCTCTTTCACTGCATAGCACGTCAGAGAAAGCTTCCAGGGGGGGGGTTTTCGGCAGCGCATAATGCATGTCATACAGCAGGTTGTCACTTGTTTCAGTAATACTGCTGCATAAAACGTCAAATACGGACGATAGTGCTTATTTTATGGAATGGTATCTTACCCCTTCGGCCATCAAAGGGCAGATTTAATTGAACCGCTTCGAAGTCCAAAGGAGTAGAATTATAATGCAGTAGATGGCCGGCAAGACAGTATTACGGCCTTGTGTTTGGGTTCTGATAAATAATAAACAGGGTCCCAATAATATTTGATGACGTAGTTTGGGTGTAGTTTACTTAAGGTCCATTTATGATGTTTCAGATGCAGACCAATTCGTGATTGTTCACCACTGGTGTGCATGATGAAATGATGTATCCTAGGTGTACACGTTGGAGATGATTTGATACCATGCCAATAAATGACACTTCAGTTACCATTTCCGGGGGGATATTAACATTGCCATTTCCCTCTTTCTTAATGGTCCGAAGATGTTGACAAACACAGGACCACAGGACCATTAATTGATTGATATGTGGGTTTAACGTTCCAAAACCACCATATGATTATAAGAGTTTGAGGCTCCCTCAAGGCAACAGTGTATATATATATATATATATATATATATATATATATATATATATATATATATATATATATATATATATATATATATATATATATATATATATATATATATATATATATATATATATATATATATATATATATATGGAATTAAAACGTCTCAATAACAATTTCTCACATTCACATATATCTGTACCATTTTTTTGGGGTACGCTTGATATAAAATAACCCTTTAAATTTTTTCTCTGTAAAAGGTGCAGACCTGCACAAAAAGCAACAAAAGGGCAAAAACAACTTTTTGTTTCTGTTTAAACTTTTTGTCTCTGTGCACAGTGCATATCAGCATTATGAATATTAACAAGGTGAAGACAACTTTTTGTTGCTAATGTGAGTCACTTGTTAATGGGCATTGTGATAGTGCGAGAACAGAACGACGACAAGGAGACAAGAAGGAGACAAGCTCGTTCTGTTCTCGCGCTATAACTATCGTCATGTCATACCAACTAGCCCAAACTGCCCCACTTCTTCGTTAATGGGGTGGTGCCATCAAATTTTGAGATCATAAAATGCCTGCGGTAGGCTGCCTCTGTATGCTGCGACACTATGCACGAAGTGTTGGACATTGCAAAGAAAATATAATACATATTTTTATTCGCTTCTAAAGTGGGTCTAAATGCCCATTCTTGCAATCGAGACGTATCGCTAGAGTGACTGACACTGACATCCCTGTGTTGGGATAATAACGAAAGTGTTAGTAACGTCAGACTACATTAGAGTGACGTGCTATTGTCCTTTGACCCGGCTCTCCGCAAAGATATTTGTGTATGCCAGAAATTCATACACGCTAATATTCTATATTACATAATTTATATAACTTTAGCGAATTTCGAAGGCGCCCGGACGGTCGGTCACGTGTGTTTGCGAGAGCAAACAATGCAGCACCATGTGTGACACAGCTTTGCAAGCTGGAGTTTCCACTTTCCAACATAGTGACGTCAGTGTACAAAAATATATGATAGCCTCACCCTCTGTGAGACTGCCTGTGGGGAAAATGCACCAAGCGTGTCCATATGAGTAATATTGCAATGAAATCGCCAAACTTGTGCATTACGATAAGAGATGCGCAGCAGATCTTGCAGAGAAAGTTGGTTTCGTATTCACAATTGAACATGCTGTCGTGCTTGGCTTTCTAGAAATCTGACACAGCGCGAATTAAGTATATGGAATGAGAGCGAATTTCGGTTATGAACTCATCCCGCAGTTTCAATGTTTATTGTTAGCAAACACTTTGTAAAAATAAAATAGTGCTGCGTGACACGCCCAGTGTGCGAAACGCCTAATAAAGTTGGAATAAACGTTTCACTTAATATTTAAGTTTGCATTCATGGCCTAGTGCTTAAGGCATGTGGCTTGCGTACAAGGGTAATCAGATTCAAGTGCTACCATTGCAATGACATTTCTTTATAATGCACAGATGAATTCGTTAAGGTCTGAAGGTCAGATAAGCAAGTAGGGAGACGAGTACAAGCAAGTAGCCGCTTTAAAATATAATGAAGCAAAATTTATGCGGTACGTGCGTGTGGTGGCGGTCAGAGACGAAGAAATGATATAAGTGCATTTTGGGCAGAGAGTCGCGTAATTAGACCGAAAGTTGGGTAATTCCCGAGTGCCGGGGGTGAATTTTTTATCCAAGGGGCGTGCGACGCATATTATAGGGCGCGAGTAGCACAACTTGAGAGGCGATTCGCTGACCTTGAGAATTTCAAAGGTTCGACGTTATGTTGAACATAAATGTATTTTTGCTGACTTCTGTATAAAGCAAAGTTACAAGCAGATGCAACTTAGGATGTTGTCCATGCATATGATAGAGCTTTAATAAATTTAGACTACATGACTAAATGAAGGCTATGTTGCCGTTACAAGAGAGCAGAGCCCACTTTAGGCGCAATTAGCAAGCACTAACTAACACGATCAATCATTTATCCATACTTAGCCAGCAATAACCAATTCCAACCATAGCTACGAGTAAGTAAAAGTTGCCCAGTTTGCCGTTCACCGCTCGTAAATTGGGTGTGCGTTCGCGTGTGCATATGTGACTGGACGCTTACATATTAAACAAGTTAAGTTAATTGTTGGAATTTCGTAAGCCTTTAAGTCTGAGGTATTATCTGCGATAGCTCTCAATAAACGTATTGTAAATTCAAAATAGTATTCGCCAAGAAATTTCAAGTCAGTGAAATACACACATTTCAAACTCGGCGCACTGACTCGGTTCATCACTACACAGTTAGAAGGAAGTTACAGTAGTTAGATTAGCGTTCCTGAAAACAATAGTAATTGTGCTCGCATGGAGTCGAATCTCGATGATCACACTATAATATATTTTCTGCATGCGAAAACAGCTTACCAATGGATAAGGACGTTGCCGCCTTCCATTCGAGCGTGGTGAATAAAGTCATTGGACTGGGAGAAGAACTGCGACAGGTTCTGGCCGGGGGTGTCTGAAGCCTGGATGCAGAGATATTCCTTGTCCTGCACGACAACGGCGTTCGTTCGCTTTTCGTTAGTCTGCAACGCTTACTCCGCCTTGCGGCAAAGATCGCTTTTGGAAATTGGTTGTAATCAAACCTCAGCCCAGTGACCGTTTTGGGATGTGGGTCGGTGTCGCCGTGATGTGTTTGTGTGCGCAGTCGTCGTGTTTTATTATCACTTAAGAGTGAGATGCGCGATTCCCACTTCAATCAACTTCTGTGTTTCGTGAGTCGCAAGCACGCGATTAAGCATTTTGTCAGTTACTATACCAGAGATACGGGCATTCATTCAAATGAATGAACGAAAAAAAAAACACGTTATTGTTTCCATCGGCATTATAACACCTTTTGTGGAAAATACACAACCACATTACTGGGGCCATTTTTTATTAATTTCATGAAGTCAACTTCTCTCCGATTAGGAACTCTTTGCAGACTCATACTAAGAAGTACGCATTTCTAGTAATATAGCTTAATTTCTATACCACTCCAGTAGGTCCGCTAGAAAACGTAATTTTTTTATATATAGCGTGATGTGTACAATCTAGTTGATATTCATTGGGCAAATCTAGGACGGGGATGTCAATTCTGTTTCGAAAGTTGAAGTACTTAGTTCAGTGGACATTCGGAATAGAGTTATTGCTGACAAGGTATCACACATCGGTTGATGAACGAAACATCTCTCTTTTTAGAGTGCCGCAATTTTATGCCGCTTAGTCGATTACTATCGTTGCCGAAAACTGGCCTCATTATAGTAATGAGATGCAGAATATTTCATAATGTCGCTTAACGCTCTAGTAAACCAGAGGGCCAATTACGCCATCAGGAGCGTGAAACGCGCTCTGGCAGGACTCTCTTATTTCGGTTTCGTTGGAAATGTACGCGGGGTTTTGGCCGCGAATATCGCCTGTGTTTTTTGTTCAGCAAGGCGGTCGAGCGAATGGCGATTACTTCAGGCGTTTGATGATGTGGCATCTCATTTGCACCGTGATTATTGCGTCGCCGGGTATAGTCGAAGCGTGCGGCCTTGCGGATTGAAAAGAGCGCCTAAAACACGCTAATTTTGAAACGTCGCAAGACTACCTATCTGGTTACTCTTGTGAAACCTTCGATTTTGCAGCGGCTCCGAATTTAGACGGGTGCAGAGTGAGAGAACGTCGTTTAGGTTCAAGAATTTTAGGCGCCTAAAATAATTCCGCAGCCAGATTTTCAGGCGATGGAAGTCCTCATAAAAAAAAGGCCCCGTATATGCATGTTACACTGCAAATGTCGTCAAAAGACGATAGTCTTGCGTCTGGAGAGAGTGAACAAAATGTTTATTTGATGTTCTGCGCAAAAAATTTGGTGAATGGTATTCTAGAGGCGCTGCGTTAGAGTGTCTCGAGCGTGCTGATGAGGCGAACAAGCGCATCAAGTCACGTCACACGTGAAACGTGAGCGCTATATGGCAGTTATCTTCGAAAACGAAGCGCGCGGCCTGCGCGCCCGCCTCAGAGGTGATAAGGTGGAGAACGCAAGGCGACAGGTAGGTGCCACCACCGGCCATCATAGCAAAGCGTTGGAAACACTTGCCTTTTCGTGCAAGCGTTGCACTGTCAGCGCAGAGTGATAAACGATGCGGTCCTTAGAATTACTTATGTATGCCTTTTCTAGTAAAAAAGACACGCATACAGTCTATTTACACGTTGTTATGATGCCTCAGATATGCAAAATAGTTGCTTTTTAATTGACAATCGCACATGTATGACCGCTGAATCTTAAGCAATATTGATGGACGCTGCGGATGGGGTCGGTGGTTTGGGGTATCGTTTGGTGCCGCTTAGGGTATTGTTAAAGGTGACAGACAAATGTACAGACAGACAGACAGACAGACAGACAGACAGACAGACAGACAGACAGACAGACAGACAGACAGACAGACAGACAGACAGACCAGAATTTTTCCGTCAAAGGTCTCCAAAAAAGGCTATCGCCTTTAAAAAATAGAACATTGAGGTGCAAATAATACGAATGTAGTATGTTCGCGGGCCATAAAATGTAGGAACTTTAACGAAGAGGTTGGTTAACGCTGTTTAGTTTTTTTTTTAAATGACAGGAAAACACAATATCGTCCACTGTACAAGGTAAAACAGTAGCAGTAAATACGTGAATATCTTCATGCGTACGTGGTCAGTGACTTGTATGTAAGTAATACGTGTGCAAGGTAGAGAAAGAAATGCACCATTTCGAAACACGCGCACTTTGGTATACACACGAGAAGCTTAAAGTAGGGATAGTGTTGACGCAGCAGTCCCGCCGTGCTTTATCCAGGACATGCCGAAACCACAGGAATGACGAAAGGCTTCTGTCGTTCTCCACGAGTCGATTCGCTCGCAGGATTTCAAGCTGGACGGTTGTGCCCTCGCGATCTCCGACTTCAGCGTAGCTCCCGCCGACTGGTTCGCCCTCCGCGGTCTCCTGAAGCCGTGCAGCTCTCGCATTGTGGCACCCCGCCCTTGGACTGCTTCGACCGGATCCCCACTTTCCTATCTCCTTCTTTTTCTCTCTCGTTGGCTGGCTTCTTCTCCGTCTATTTTCCTTCTATTCTTTTTATCCCTCCTTCTTTTTCCCTATATCTTTTATTCCCCATATCCCATTCCTCTGCTGACCTGTTGAGGTGTCCTCGTAAGGAGAGACAGTTACGGGTCGGCACCTTTCTTTTCTTTTCTTCTGATATAACCACTTATATATATATCTCCACGAGTCGATTGAGCCACTTCTTAGACCCGCTCATTCAGGAATCTTGTTTTCTCTTATGATTAGGTTGTCTGACTTCGGTGATGGGACTGAGGGGTGTGATGCGCACGCTGAGCACAAAGACTAGTAAAGGCTACGTTGCTGCATTAACCCCCCTTCCTTTTTTGTTGTCTTTTAGTCATCGATTGGGAGCTCTCAGAATGTAAATGAGGGAGGTGGGGCTATTACCGACCTAAGAGCACTTAGGTTTCACTCCATGAGGGCGTGTCCTGTAGTTGTAGCGATAATTGAACTCACAAAAAGTATTTACAGGAGTCAAGCTCGTCTACATATTCGTATACATATCTCTTAACTCGCACCACTCCTAGCTAAGAAATAGAAGCACTAAGTGTACGATCAGCAGAGGCTAGAAAATAGACCCTATACAAGTCCCCTTTTTTTGACATGGTATTTCCAGGAACATAAGAATAATTGCATTACTAAGTGAGGTAGACAATGCACATGCATTACTTTGTGGCGGTGTTTGAAGGACGAATAACCAACACTAGCTCAACCGTTCTGCTAAAACTCAGTTTTGTACGTTGACGAGCGTTCCTGTGTCCCTGGGCATCTCACCCTTCCTAAAGGGCCCCTAATCAGGCTCTGGAAGTACCAAAAACAAGTGTGTTATTCTCTCCCGGCGTTTCTGGTCTTTCCGTGGTGCACTTCGTGATGCAAGAACAGTGATCCACGTGACGTCACTACGGTACGAGAATGGTCCGTATACGAGGTCCGTATACCATAGGTCCGTATACGCGAAGCATCAGTTGCGAATTGTCTGCTGCGCTATTTTGACATACAGCCGCCCACACATTCTTCCTCGCCTCGCGTGCTTATTGGGAGTGACCAATCAATAGACCGCACTTCATTTTGTGTGTTTCGAACTGCTAAAACGGTGATAACTACGTGTAGCCGACAAGCATGAAATTCTGATTGGATGAACGCTTCGTGGTGGCATTCTACAGTGTTTTTTTTAAGAAATTAGCGGCGAGGAGAAGATATAGCATGTAGGAAGGGCAGCGAAAGCGAAAAAGAAAACATTCCCTTGTGATTGAATGCGGGGTAGTAAGAGGCCCTTTAAGTGAGCTTAAAAATATTTCAGAGCATTTTTGTCTGCGTTAGTTTTTTGTTTGTTTGTAGCCTGGGATCCATGGTACATACCCACTCTGAGAGATCGACCAAGAAAACATAGTATCCTGTAGACTGTAACTGTGATAGTTCTTCTTCTGCTTCTTTTTTGCACTTTCATTTGCATCACTGAAAGATTGTTCTCGGTGTTAATTAAAAATGTTCTTTCTATGTTGAGGACAAAGCAGTCCAAATAAATAATAATTTACTGACAATAAAATTTTCACGACTCCCGTACTAGTGAGGGTACATGGGCAGCAGCAGGTTTGGGCAATGCCATTAGTTTTTTTGGTATAGTGGTTGGTATTTTGATTTAACATTATGTGGTAAAACGCTGTAAAGAAAGAGCGCAAAGCGCTTTTCTTCCAGATGTTCTGGTATACTAGAGAAACCCCATGTGCTTACCTTAACACTGATCTTGTGGCACCTAGATGAGTAAGCCAAACGTGACCTGTGCAATTAGTCGTAAAGCAAAGAATAGCGCTACATTTTCGCGGCACGTGGATCGTGCCGTAAACCCTACAATGACTCCGTCCACCCATGATTCACTGATCTAATTACGTGGCAACTAACAATAGTTAGTTAAGCCGAGTTTTCAAAGCTAGTTAATTAGGATGGACACGGACACCTTTTTATTCCTAAGAAAGCAAAGTTACTTGTCTGTGCGTCATGAGCAGTTCAAACATCCTAATTTTCGACATCATCATAGAAATCAGTAGTATCAAAACTTGGGACGCCATTTCAGAAAGGCGTGGGCCCTCTAGTCCCCCTCCCCCCCCCCCCAAAGAAAAGTTGAAAAAGGACTGTTGCGTCACGTGCCGTAAAGTAGAAACACAGTATATACAGTATTACAGTATTGACCCTAATGACACCAACAGACAACAGAACCAAGGAATTCACAGGGAACATCATTTTGTATTTTTTATCTGAAGTGTGGTAATTATGACACGACGTGGGTGAAAAGAAGGTAACAACTTGCCGTCAACAGGGACGTGGTGGTCGTTATTCTTTTAATTTTACTGTGTATTTCTTCGCATCTATTCCTGAGAGTGTTAGCCAGTACCACTCGTAGCCATTGCGACGAGTGTGGAACACTTA